AAAAAAAAAAAAAAAAAAAGAAATTGCCAAACTGCTTTGCACAATGGCTGCACCATTTAACATTCCCATCAGCAGTGTATGAGAGTCTCAATACTTGATGTCATCTGTCTTTTCCATTTTATCCTAGTGGGTGTGTAGTGATATCCTGTTGTGGTTTTAAATTGTATTTCCCTGATTATAGTGATGTTGGGCACTTCTTCATTTCTTATTTGGTAAGGAGTCTGTTCAAATCTTTTTTCCATCTTCTTGTGAGTTGTTTGTCATCTTGTTACTGAGTTGTAACAGTTTTTGTATTTGTTGGCTAGAAGTCCTTCGTCAGGCTCAGCACCGTTACAGCACCAGCTACATACGCCGAGGGGTGGTGGGTTTGAACTCGGCCTGGGCCAGCTAAACAACTGCAACAAAAAACTGGCTGGGCATTGTGGTGGGCACCTATAGTCCCAGCTATTTAGGAGGCTGAGGCAAGAGAATCGCTTAAGCCCAAGACTTGGAGGTTACTGACGCCCCGGCACTCTACTGAGGGAGACATAATAAGACTCCTTCTCAAAAAAAAAAAAAAATCCTTTGTCAATTATTTTTTTGAGACAGAGTCTTACTCTGTCACCCTAGGTAGAGTGCTGTGGCATCATAGGTCACAGCAACCTCAACTCTTAGGCTCAAGTGATCCTCCCGTCTCAGTCTCCCAAGTAGCTGGGACTACAGGCACCACAATACCCAGCTAGTTTTTCTGTCTTTAGTAGAGATGGATCTCACTCTACCTCAAGCTGGTCTAGAACCCCTGAGCTCAAGGAAACCAACCACCTTAGCTTCTCAGAGTTCTGGGACTACAGGCATGAGTCACTACATCCAGCTTGTAAATTTTTTTTAAGGCAAGCATGAAGGAAACTTTATTTTTTTTTTATCTTTGAGACAGAGCCTCAAGCTATTGCCCTGGGTAGAATACCATGACATCACAGCTCACAGCAACCTCCGACTCCTGGGCTCAAGTGATTCTCCTGCCTCAGCCTCCCAAGTAGCTGGGACTACAGGTACCCGCCACAACGCCCGGCTATTTTTTTGTTGCAGTTTGGCCGGAGATGGGTTTGAACCTGCCACCCTCGGTGTATGGGGCTGGTGCCCTACTCACTGAGCCACAGGCACCACCTTGTTTCTGCAGTTTCTATTCTGTTACATGAGTCTTTTTGTCTGTCTTCCTGCTATAGTGCCTTAAATTACTTCAGATTTATGATAAAGAGGTCTCACTGTCAGCTGGGTGCCTGTTTCTCAGTAGTTAGGGTGCCAGCCATATGCACTGGGGCTGGTGGGTTCAAACCTGGCCTGGGCCTGCTAAACAAACAAAAAAATAGCCGGTCATCATGGCAGGTGCCTGTAGTCCCAGTTACTTGGGAAGCTAAGGCAAGAGAATCACTTGAGCCCTAGAGTTTGAGGTTGCTGTGAGCTGGGACGCCATGGCACTCTACCCAGGGTGACAGCTTGAGACTCTGTCTCAAAAAAAGAGGTCTTGCTCTCTAGTACTGTAAGTCACTCAGCTTTGCTGCTGTGTTTGAGATTAGGGGAAGGGGCCACAGTGGCAATATTGACTTGGAATGATGGGAGTAGTGGTGATTGCGTCTCCAGATGGCCACTTGGTTTCAGCTGGTATTGTTAACATCATGGTCTAGGCCCTAGTCCTAAGTGCCTAATTCTCCAGATACAAGCTTATGTTTGCACCCTAAGAGATGATCTGTGAAAATTACTTTTATTGCTGTGTGACCTAGAGCATCAGGTTGCCCAAAGACGTAAAGAAGAGAGGAAGTCTTATGCTCACTTGTATGCCTATCACCAGAGAGGCAGCCATTGTTTGGAACAGGAATGCCTATTATCATCTGTGCCTTCTTCTCCCTCTGCATTTGACCCCTTCTGGCTCCTCTCATCATGAATTAATTTAGACCCACCCTGGATCTTTGCTGTAGTATATGTGCACCTAGTGTGTGTGCACCATACAGGTACACAACCACTTACCACAAACCCTTAGAGCCTGAGGAACTTCAGGAGTCAGAATATTTCAAGTTACATTATACCATTTCTGCAGCAACCTAGATAAACATGTCTTTTTTTTTTTTTTTGAGACAGAGCCTCAAGCTGTTGCCCCAAGTAGAGTGCTGTGGCATCACACCTCACAGCAACCTCCAACTCCTGGGCTCAAGCGATTCTCCTGCCTCAGCCTCCCAAGTAGCTGCAACTACAGGCACCCGCCACAACGCCCGGCTATTTTTTGGTTGTAGCCGTCATTGTTGTTTGGGGGGCCTGGGCTGGATTTGAACCCAGCAGCTCAGGTGTATGTGGCTGACGCCTTAGCCGCTTGAGCCATAGGTGCCGAGCCTATAAACATGTCTTTTAAGTTGGATGAATAAAGGTTACAGTTTCACAGCCATTCAAATGAGATTGGAAGCCAAATTTATGAGATAAGTTTTCGGACCCTTCTGGATTTTAGGATTACAGATTATGGATGAACTGTGGCCCTTTGTTCCTTATTTCCTATGTCGCTCTCTTCTTTTGACCTTATAGGCTGTGTCACACCAGTTGAATGCTGTAACTGAGGACATGTACACCAATGGTTCTGCGGCCCCAGGTAGCCCTGCCCAGGCCAAGGGGCAGGAGGTGCGGAAAGTGCGACTCATACAGTTTGAGAAGATTACAGAGGAGCCCATGGTAATTCCTTGTTGTATTATCACCCACCACTTACTATCCTGTGAATCACTGGGTGTCACCATCTCTTGTTCCTCCTCAAAGCAGGCTTTATGCCTGTTATAGTTGAGGACTATGCTGGGTATGGCTTGAAAATATTTTCCCTGAGTGGCTTGGCGCCCGTGGCACAGTGGTTATGGTGCTGGCAATGTGCACTGAGGCTGGTGGGTTCAAACTCGGCCCAGGCCAGCTAAACAACAGTGACAACTGCAATAAAAAAATAGCTGGGCATTGTGGCAGGTGCCTGTAGTCACAGCTACTTGAGAGGCTGAGGCAAGAGAATCGCCTAAACCCAAGAGTTTGAGGTTGCTGTGAGCTATGATGCCACAGCACTCTACCGAGGGTGACATAGTAGCACTCTGTCTCAAAAAAAAAAAAAAGAAAAAAGAAAAAAGAAAATATTTTCCCTAAGAAATCACCTTAAATTGTGTTAAAAATAACCACTGAAAGCTTAATATAAAACTTATTATGTCGGCTCAGCGCCTATAGCTCAACCGGCTAAGGCGCCAGCCACGTACACCTAAGGTGGTGGGTTCGAATCCCCAGCCCGGACCCGCCAAACAACGATGACGGCTGCAACCAAAAAATAGCCGGGCGTTGTGGTGGGCGCCTGTGGTCCCAGCTACTTGGGAGGCGGAGGCAGGAGACTCGCTTGAGCCCAGGAGTTGGAGGTTGCTGTGAGCTGTTTGAGGTTGCTGTGAGCTGGGACGCCACGGTACTCTACCCAGGGGGACAGCTTGAGGCTCTGTCTCAAAAAAAAAAAAAAAAAAAACAAAAACTTATTATGTCATTGCCTTTATTTCAGGGTATCACTCTGAAGGTGAATGAAAAAAAATCCTGTACAGTGGCCAGAATTCTTCATGGCGGCATGATTCACAGACAAGGTACTCTGGGGAGAGGTCCTGTGTCATGCTTTATCCAGGGATTAATTATTATTCCCTGTTTAGTGCAGTAATAATTGCATAATAAGATATCGGGATGTCTTGCGCAGTGCCGCTATCTCTCCCTCTGAGCCACCTCATAAAGCTTATTTATACTAATATTTTTCCAGTTAGTTAATCTGTGAACAATTACCACATGCCACCCACTGCATTAGACTTTGAATATATAGCAGTGAAGAAAACAGACTATCTCTACCCCAGTGGAGCTAACAGTTTAACTGAGAAAACAGATATTCAACAAATAATTATAATTAACTACTATATTTCCTTATTGTTAAAGTGTCATCAACTTTCAGATACATCACTTAGTAAAACCTACTTTTAGGGGTGATAAGAGAACAGAATAATACATTAAAATAGAGCCTGGTTTTAGGAGCTGATGATAGCCTGTATTTGGCCACCTGGTTTCTACCACACTTTGAGCTCTGCATGAGACTTTTTCTAGTATTGGGGTTATGGTTGTTCAAAAGGAGGTAGTTTTCCTGCTACATTAACTCCACTTTTTTATTTTTAAGATTTTTTTTTAAACTTTTTAAAAAAACCTTCTAATTTACACACACACACATTTGTGTTCTGTTTTTATTTGTATGTTTTGAGACAGAGTCTCACTCCATCACCCTGGATAGAGTATTGTTGTGTCAGTGTACCTCACAGCAACTTCAAACTCCTGGGCTCAAGTGACCCTTCTGCCTCAGCCTCCCTGCATTTTTGTCAAGGTGCTAAAACACCTTGGCAAAAGGTCTGGAACTACAAGCACCCGCCACAATAAGCTGGAAGTACAAGCACCCACCATAACACCCAGATAGTTTTCTCTATTTCTAGTAGAGATGGGGTCTCAAATTTGCTCAGGCTGGTCTCAAAATCTTGAGTTCAAGCGATCCTCCTGCCTCTGCCTCCAGAGAGTTGGTAATACAGGTATGAACCACCGTGCCTGGCCAAGACTTTTTTTTTTTTTAATCCAAGGTGACACAAATATTGGTACCTGCTGTTTACATAGAATCTAAACATTGATTAAGTTTACTATGTGATAGCATTTTGGGGTTTTAGCTAAACAACAAAGAAATATGGAACTTGCTAGTGAGTGATGAGTACTGAGTTCTTTGCCTTTGTCATTCTTTTTAGTGTGTGCATGTGTGTCATAGTCTCCTGGAATCGGTAGCTACTCTAGTTCCAGGAAATTAAGGGTGAGATGCTTTTATTTGCTGTTGGAGGTCAAGGAGAATGAGATAGTCATAAAGGAATCAAGGAATTCAAAAGGACATTCCCATGTCTCGTGGTTGAATGTTTTCAATCTTGAGTACTTTATACAATCTATAACATGCTTGAAAGACTGGGTTCTCTTCTGTGCTATCTTTAGTTGTAATGACAGCTCTAGTTTGAACTTTTATTCCTTTTGTGTATTAATTTTTCATTTCATGGCAGGCTCACTTCACGTGGGGGATGAGATCCTAGAGATCAATGGCACAAATGTGACTAATCATTCAGTAGATCAGCTACAGAAGGCAATGGTAGGTATTTTTTATGCTGCAAATCAATTGAAATATGGTTCATTCTTAAAAAAATAAAAGTCCACAAGACCAGATTTGCCCTGCCTCTTGAAACAGCCCCACTGCTAAATATTCATGCACCTAATACAGAATACTTGAAAAAAAAACTGGTAAAAATTCAAGGAGAAAAAGATAAATTCACAATTAAAGTGCTAGATTCCAACTATCTTCTCTTAATAATTGGCAGAACAAGTATCCCAGAATATCACTGAGGGTATAGAAAGTTCAAATGCCGGCTCGGCGCCTGTGGCTCAAGCGGCTAAGGCGCCAGCCACATACACCTAAGGTGGCGGGTTCGGATCCCCAGCCCGGGCCCACCAAACAACAATGATGGCTGCAACCAAAAAATGGCCAGGCGTTGTGGCGGGCGCCTGTAGTCCCAGCTACTTGGG